TAGCAAGCCTCAGCTCTGCTGAACGTCCAGGTGCGAAGTATCTGCGGTGATGTGCACATCCCTCGAAAAGACTTGGACCAGGCTTCGCCAAGACTTGGCCGCACAGAACAGAGGAAAAAGTCTTGAGGCGATAGTCCCTCTCTGCAGGTGATGAACACGGAAGCTTTGGACAAGGAGTCGAAATTTGACGCCGACGTGATCGTCCTGGCCTGCAAGGCACCCCGGCACCGCCTCGCAACCTCCACGGTTGTCCAGTTGTCCCTTCGTCGGCATTCCCTGAAAGGCCTGGGAAGTGGAGCGCTGCCTTAAGATGTGTCAGCCGTGGTGTGGACCTAACACTCTTGCTCCGCGGACGCAAACAGGGGCGACATGTGCTTTTTCATCATCTGCGCCGCCGGCAATCGAGTCGTTGACCTAGGTGCTGCCGCTTCAGAATGGCGTCGATGCATTTGGCACAGTCCGATCCATTGTGACGTCTTGGGGAAAGGGCCGGCCATTGGTTGGCTGGTGCAACATCGTTGCAGCCATCCAGGATTTCTAGCACAGCTTAGCAAGATGCTGCGGCAAAAGCAAGGGTCGAGCATTGAATCTTGGAGCAGGAGCCAGGGCTCATCAAGCACTGGGCAGCAAATCCACCTTGCATCTACTGCGGGGAATTCGAGGCAGTTCTTTCCGACCTGCATGTGGAGAGATAAATGTCCCAAGATCTCGGAACCCATGCAGCAGCGTGCGCGCGCTGCACCGGTGTTTGCACAGGGCGCCCCAACATCGAGGACAAAGCACATGGAATCCGTCCTCGCTTCCTGCGAAGGCATGGCAGGCGGGCTAAAGATTGGTCGGCGCTTCCATGTCATGTTGTCCTGGATCATTGGAATATTGGCCAGTTTCTTTGGAACAAGATGCACTCTCCAAATGTTGGGAGACTGTGCAGCACTTCAGAGCTAGACCTAGGCAGATGTGTTGTATCGGCAAAGTCTGGCAGGGTGAAACTGGATCTACGCAATAAGTGGACACGACCTCAAATCAGGAAAAGTTCTCCTTCATCTGCTCGACGACAGCGGTGCAGGCAACTGCAGGACCCAGTGCCACCCAGGACTTGATCCCGCAGGCAAGGGAAACTTCCACCGTGTCTATCGTACTGACGAATCGTAACAGAAAAAATTGCAGGTCCCTGAGCTTGAGCAGATGTGGCGCTCTGCCATGGAAGAAATCATGGCAATTGCTCCAATCTCGGGCGAAATCTCATCAGTTGCCACCACTTTGCCATCACACGCAGAGGCCAAAAAGAGCGGTATTGACTACCAGCAGTCCTGGATGGAGAAACGCGGTCAGGCTTCACTTAGCCACAATCTGTCCAGCAAGACATGGTCTTAATGCATACAGCTCAGGCATCCCGGTTTTGCGAGATGCCGTTGGTGCCACGACGAGCTGCAGTCGTGATCTTTGGGCTGGCAGGCACCCCGCATCTTCACCTGTCCAAGAATCCTGCAAGAAGACGTGCCAGGCACAGCGAGCTGGAAGATTTGCTGCTGGGTCCGAAAATAAAATGATGGAGAGTAGCACGTTCATCGATCGAAATTCTTGTGGAGGTTGTGTTTTAGAGCAAGCCTTCTATGCTCAGGCTCGGCTCGGTCCATCGTATGGGCCAGGAGAAAGGCGTTCCGACGCCAGTCATTTCCACTTGCCTGCGAGCCCTCACTGTGAGAGCTGGCAGCACTTGGGTTTGCTTGGGTCTTGAGTGTTATGTTCGCAGCGGATGGCATGGGTCCAATTTGAGGGCTTTCTGTCTCAACATCGTTTTTCGTGATTGCCTTTTCTGCATTCATGTCATGCAGTGTCGCACTGGGTGGACGCGGAGTCCTGCTGCGGCCGCTACCGGCGGTTCCGTTTCCGACAGCAGGACAGGAAGGCATCTTGAACCACCGGAAGGAAGGAGAGCGAACCACCCATATTTGCGAAGTGATGGAGGCGATCGTACCTGAAACGGGTGCAGCAGTTCCAGAGCAATGGCTGTAGCATCGACGTGCATTGCGCACTGCGCACTTATTCTCAAAGCCGAGGCGCGATCGGCTGGCACGAAGGGCTACGACCTTGCCGATTTATCCCATGTTGGAGGGCCAAAAGATTCTTGGCACCATCTGAAGCTTGCCGGCATGATCAGGGGGTGACTTTGGTGACATGGGCAGCTAGCAGCCACCGACAGCGAGAAGAGGGAGCTTTCGTGTGTTGCTCATCCTTGGGCCTTTGAGCGACTCTAGGAGTGCGGCCTTTAATTTTGCTTTTAAAGACCTTGTGATTTTGTACGCTACCTGATACTGACCCACCAGCAACCCAGAGCCTCGAACTACATGTCGTTTCAGGGTGTTGCTGCTCTTCGATGAGTCATTCCGGGGTTGTGATCCGGACTGTAGGCAACCATCAAGGGCAGCAGCTGCCTGCAGATCGAACGCTGGCACAGAAGAAAGCTGAAGAGCAACTTGTCCACAATGTGAAGAAGCTGGCTCAAGGTTGTGTCGGCTAGACACACTTTAAGCAAGACTCCGCGGCATGTCTCATGTGCAAACGCTGTTACTTTGTTCCCTTTGCCTTGTCGATATGAGGTACTTGAGGCCTGTGCCTGGGCTGCATAGAGCGGCATCGGCATCGAGTCATAAGTCACACAGAGATGCAATCGCCGGCATGCCTGCATTGAAGCGCGCTGTTCCAGTACCGTGTGCTCGATTTCAATCCGGCATTCGATAGTTAAAATGGCTTTGGTGGAGTTTGCTGCAGCATGCCGCAGCTGAGGAGTGGTACGTGTGTCCCATGACGTCGGCCATTGCCACGGGTGGCCAGTGCGAAGTTCCTGAAGGTGTCCAGATGCTGTGGGAAGCAGAGCTCGGGGCCGCCAGCCAGATAATTCGATTCTATGACTCCGTGAGCCTTTCCTCAGTCCTGCCTTGCGTGTCGCAGCGAGCATGAGTCTCAAAGAAGGTTGTCATTTCGCATTCCTGCTGCTTGGCTTTGCAATCAAGGAGTGGCTTGCCGGTTGCCATGACCGCATACATGTGCCCGTGTGCATTCTCTTAGCTAAGCCATATGCAGGCGAAAATCTCTCCCCTCATGAAGCTCTGGACTACGTGGGTGGCTACTGCATGGTGCTCGATTTGACTGGCGGCAACCTCGGCCATTCGATTGCAAGCACAGAACAAAGTCAGTTCTCGAGATATGAACTGATGATGAAGCTTACGGGGTGTGAGGGATTCATCGTGATCTCTGCGCGAGTGCATTTGATGTGTGGAGCCTTCCGTCCTAGAATCCGAGGCTTTGAGTCCATGAAGCACCGTGTCTGCAGACAAACCGGCTTGCGGCGTCGTCTTGCTCCTTCCGCCTACACTGGGTGAGCTTAAACAGAGGTATGGCCACTCCTGGACTCGGAACAAGTGCCAGAACACATTCAAACCGGCTGGGGTCCTCGGATGACCAGGTAATTAATTGAGTCAGCTGACCTTCGCATCCGTGAGGTGGGTGCATTTATTCCTGCATCCGCGCTTCCGAAGCCAGAGTCTTCCCGCATTATTTGCCGGGTGAACGGGCGCCATGGCTGTACAAGTGAGCCAGGCAAGTAAAGGACGAGACACTGGAACCACATCAAGTATGCGCAACGGCAATGATGAGTGCAATGATGAACAATGCGGCACGAAGTTTGGAGTTTTTCACCCAAGTCAACGTGTGGGTTTCTCACTTTGCAAGCGTCCACCACGCTAAAAGCTAGAAGGCCTTCCAGGTGCACCAGCAAACTTGTCAAGCACTCCTGCAAGCAATTCACAATCGGACAGTTTGCGGCTTTATTTGTCTGTTGAAGAAGCCGAAAGCCAAGGAAGACTGTTGCAGAAGATGAGATCAGCAAGATGAAATTCACAATAGCGCAGCAGGTTGCTGATGTGACTTGCCATTGTACTACTTGAAAAGAGCATTGCAACGTCGAGTTGTTCATATTGCTATGCTTACCCCCGCAGCTTAGGCCAGCGAGCTGACACCTCTACGAAGAGGCGATATTCTTCTCACCGGTGCAGGCAGGGAGGTTCTGCAAGCTGAACCCCATGTGAGGTTGCTGCAAGTAGGGGTATGACACGAGTTCCTCTTCCCCATGGCTGACCATGTAGCTACTGAAGGTCTGGAACCAGCCAAGCCCACGTCCTTGATTTTCCCTATGCCCACTAGATGGGAACAGCCCGTATGACTACTTCCAGCCTGATTCTGCTACGGGTATGCCAAGAGTGATTGTGTATCAGTGAATCCCGTCGGTGTCGAGGCTCGTTGGGCCCTCTTGCGATTGGAGATGTTGTGGAGGGATCTGTTGAGGGCCTCGATGCGAAGTACACTGTGAGTGCCACGCTCGTAGCTGCTCCGAAGCGGCGGAAATTGGAACCTTCAAAGCTTTGAGCAATCTTTGAGGCCGGTGAGGTGCCAAAGTTTTCACCTGCACCACTGGCCACGATTCTTGAGTCAAGCCTCCTGTAGCTGACGCTACTGTGCACCATGTGCGCAGCATATGGACAGGAAGCAGAACAGATTCCGATTTGCGGCACTCTTGACAGCCGGTTCTCCCGAGCCAGCTGGAGCTAGAGCATTTGCATTGATGGTGCTGCCTTTCTGAGCGCAACCATACTCTGCCTTTGCCAGAAGCAGCGGGAAGAAAACCGTCAAGCCCGGACCTTTCCGAGACAACTTGGGTAGTGGGCGCATGCCTCTATAAGGAATCGTGAGAGTGATGTGCATAAAGGATGTGTGTTTCTCGGTACTTCTATACGCTTTACACAGGCAAATTCGAACGCGGAACAGCCTTGCAGGTGTTTCGATGAGCGACGAAGACAGTCAGAAATCCTGGAACTTCTGTAGCAGTTCTGTCGAAGAGCCTCCCACTGTAGAACATCCATAGCGGTTCTTCAGCTCTTCCACGAAGGCCGATCAAGTCCGAAGATGCGTACACTGGAGGAGAGTCGGTGAGGGGTTTCTGCATGTCCTTCAAGCCGTCGCAGCTACAACGTCAAAAGTGGCGCGGGTTGGCGCAGCTGGCATTTCAGTTTTATTCGATCAGCTCTTTTCAGTTGTGCTTGTTTCCATTGCACTTTGCTTTTGGGGTAAGTGCAGACTGTTGGCGTTGTCATCGAAGCCCGAACCAGAGATTTCTGACCGATTCGTGCTTTATCCGTTCTGACAGTAGGCTTCGGCTTGGTGTTGCTATTGCAGTCCATCAGCCGTCAGCAGCTCCACCAGAGCTGGTGAAATGGCATGCATGCCCTGCGATGCAGATTTCGTTTCCCCATGTGCCAAAGAAGAGAGGGTGCCGTGAGACAGAAGTCTTTCATGCCGCGGATAGCACGCGCCGGAGCGACTTTGCCAAGGCTGACCGCGGCCAGCCCTACTCATTGCTCCAGCAAGTGCTCGGTAAAGCAACATTACCCGTCCAACAGTGAGAAAAGACTATGTGAGTGCAGTTCGGGTTTTCGTTCAGGTACGTGCGGTGAGGAGGAGCTGGTTGAATCCAATCGAGACGTATGCGCTGCGGCACGAAGAAAGAGCCGTCGGCCTGGGCAGTGCAGCATTTTCGCATCATGTCCAGCTTGACAGTTGAATCTCTGAACCGTCCGCGATCACAATGAATCAAACGGAGTTGTATAGGAGATAGCCGCATCGCTAACCCGCTCGAAAAGGATCGCGACATGGCTCGGAAGATTGCGTCCTGCTGCATTGCCGTGGCATCAGCAGCCTTTCTTCTGATGGCACTGCCGACCTCGTTTGTTCCTTCGCCAGGAAGGCAAGGTGCTGTTGCCGCTGCTGCTGTGGCAGCAGGCTCTGCTGCTTTGCCTGCTTGGGCATATGACCCGCAGATGACCGATGCACAGATCTTGTTGGCACGCATCCCGGGAGGAAAGCGCACTCAGGAGTTGGGCTTGGTCATTCCCATGGCTGAGGAGGACGGCTTGACCGATGGTCAGGTTGCCGGCTTGTTCCTGATTGCGCTGGTTGTGTTCATCTCTGCCATCGATCTGGCGAAGACCATGTACAACGGCATCAACCCGGCCAAGTTCAAGACCAGCAAGGGCAAGGGCTACATCTCCCCACTAGTGAAGCGTTACATTGAGAATGGCTACTGAGCGTGTCACAGATTTTGCGCTCAGTAAACGGAGATTCCAACATGGGGATCGCTCCGCAGCAAAGACCGAAGTGCAGCCATGGCTAGCCACAGATGTGCTATAGCTGTGATGCTTTTGCTAACGGACGGGTCATGGGAGCAGTGTATTCGCTTGTGCTAAGCAGGTTTTTTTGGATTCAGGTGTGCGCCCTTTTGCCAGTCCCCGCCTCCCTTTCCAAGATGGCTCGGAAGATTGCGTCCTGCTGCATTGCCGTGGCATCAGCAGCCTTTCTTCTGATGGCACTGCCGACTTCGTTTGTTCCTTCGCCAGGAAGGCAAAGTGCTGTTGCCGCTGCTGCTGTGGCAGCAGGCTCTGCTGCTTTGCCTGCTTGGGCATATGACCCGCAGATGACCGATGCGCAGATCTTGTTGGCACGCATCCCGGGAGGAAAGCGCACTCAGGAGTTGGGCTTGGTCATTCCCATGGCTGAGGAGGACGGCTTGACCGATGGTCAGGTTGCCGGCTTGTTCCTGATTGCGCTGGTTGTGTTCATCTCTGCCATCGATCTGGCGAAGACCATGTACAACGGCATCAACCCGGCCAAGTTCAAGACCAGCAAGGGCAAGGGCTACATCTCCCCACTAGTGAAGCGTTACATTGAGAATGGCTACTGAGCGTGTCACGGATTTTGCGCTCAGTAAACGGAGATTCCAACATGGGGATCGCTCCGCAGCAAAGACCGAAGTGCAGCCATGGCTAGCCACAGATGTGCTATAGCTGTGATGCTTTTGCTAACTGACGGGTCATGGCAGCAGTGTATTCGCTTGTGCTAAGCAGGTTTTTTTGGATTCAGGTGTGCGCCCTTTTGCCAGTCCCCGCCTCCCTTTCCAAGATGGCTCGGAAGATTGCGTCCTGCTGCATTGCCGTGGCATCAGCAGCCTTTCTTCTGATGGCACTGCCGACTTCGTTTGTTCCTTCGCCAGGAAGGCAAGGTGCTGTTGCCGCTGCTGCTGTGGCAGCAGGCTCTGCTGCTTTGCCTGCTTGGGCATATGACCCGCAGATGACCGATGCGCAGATCTTGTTGGCACGCATCCCGGGAGGAAAGCGCACTCAGGAGTTGGGCTTGGTCATTCCCATGGCTGAGGAGGACGGCTTGACCGATGGTCAGGTTGCCGGCTTGTTCCTGATTGCGCTGGTTGTGTTCATCTCTGCCATCGATCTGGCGAAGACCATGTACAACGGCATCAACCCGGCCAAGTTCAAGACCAGCAAGGGCAAGGGCTACATCTCCCCACTAGTGAAGCGTTACATTGAGAATGGCTACTGAGCAGCTCAGCTCTTACAAGGAGTGGATTCCACATTCACGTCACCACACCAAAAAGAGGCTGCCTGCAACTGACTGATCTTTGGCTCCCTACTTTGCACTTGAAACCTCCCTCCGGCTCCGATCCTCCAGCAGAGATGATTAGCAATGCAGTGGTAGTGCGGGCTGAGCGCAAGTAAAGTACCAGCTGCATGCTTGCTTCTGAGATTCGAGGGTCCTTGGCCCTTGCAACACCTTTCTCCGCAGCTGGCTTCAAATTAAGCTTATCTGCTGTTCAATCCTTAACATACCGTGCGCCAGAGTGCGATCATCCCGTGTTCGCCTAATTTCAGTCAAGCGGGGCTGCATGGCAGTGTTCAGCACTGGTACTTGTACTGTAAGTCGTCTCTCTGCAAGCAGGCCAGAAAGTGTAGTCGCACTGGACGCATGGGTCTTCTCAGTGGTTACGGCAGCGATGAGTCCACCTCCAGCGATGACAGAAAGGTCACCAAGAGGCACTCGACATCCACAGAAGATGATGTCAAACAGTTTCAAAAATGGAGTCCAAGATCAGAGTGTGTGGAAAGTACCAAAGTTACTGTAGCGGAGCTTGTCCACAGCATGGCAGGGGAGGGAAATGTGCTGGAGCTACGTGACCTGTTTTCGACCGAAAGACGACAGGTCAGGAATGGGGCAAAGCGTCGCTCATTGTCAGGAAGATGAAGTGAGACGTGCAACAACTAGAAACTTTGGCGTCAGCGTTGCTTGTACGTCTGCAGACCTCGCCTGGACATGTTTGAGTGTTTGAGTGTGAGCATCAAAGAAATGACCTCTTGTCGCTTTCGCTAGCAGTTCTTGTTCAGGCGTCGTGTCGTTCGCCGGTGGCCCAGTCACTCGTTCATCTCACGAACACGACACGTTCTGCAAGTGCACATCGGTGGGTTGTGGGTTCAGGATTGGATTACGCAAAGCTCCCCATGTCGCGCCCACTGCCGCTGCCGCTTGCAAAGCAAGCTGCAGCTGCGACCGAAGAGTTGCCCGGGCAAGAGGACATCACGAGTGGCAGTAGGCATGGCATTCGACTCGCGATGGCCGTTGTGAAGGAGGGGGATTCAACAGATCCAAATGCCACAAGCGAGTCGGAGAATCAGGCTACCCAGTAGCAGTTCTGCAGAGTCCCGCGCAACCATGCAGAGGATATCACGTTCGCCTACCTTTCCGTGGACTGTGGCATGTCCTGGACAGGTGCAGGAAAGCCTGTCCGGCAACGAGAGCTCCGAAAAGGAAGCACAGGAAACAGAACTTGCATCCATGGATGAGGCAAGCACGAGCAATCACGTGTGTTTCTGTCTGGGCAGCTTTGGTTCCTGGCATCCTGTGGCTGCCGGACAGGATGTTTTCTCCTCAGCCGGACCGTCCTCGTCGCTCGTGTCTCTGCTCCCACGGCCAAAGAAGGCCAGCTCTTCGTACTTGAGCAACCTTGAGAGCCGTTTGTGAGAGTCTTTGGCTTCATCCTGGGTTCGCTCGAATCCTTTTCGCCTAGCTTGCACGGCGCTACCTACTGGTGCGAAGCCTCGGCTGATGCTCCGCCGCTCCTGAAAGCCGAACCCGTGCCACAGGAGCCCGTGCTGGATCCGGGAAAGGAGAGTCAAATTGAGATAGACTTTGCTACTGCCGGTAAGCCCAAAGAGCAGCTCGGCTCAATGTTGAAATCTGGCTACTGTAAGTGCCTGTTTCGGCGGTGTGCCCGACTCGTGTACTCGAGTAGCTGCTTGATTTTACATTTTTCCTGTTCGTTGTGTTTCCACTTCATACACCACGTGGACTCCTCTCCTGCATGCATGCATACATCTACTTAACTTAGTAGTTACTTAACCTTCAGTTTTTTGAGATCGCTGAGGAAACCTCATGCAATGGGGGATGCGTCACGACCCAAGTTCCTTGCTGTAACGGCCACACCTTAGCAGCCTTCTGAAGCGTCTTGAGGTGTTTTTATCTCAGTTATCCTGGCAGCAGGAATGCGTGGGTCGTCCGTGCAGCTCACGTCCCGGAAATCACAGAAGCCCAGGACGGTAGGTTTATCAGTTTATCCTACAAGAGAAGACGACAAAGGGACAGTTTCCGTTTCACTGCAGCCCCAGACGGGTGCATACACTTTGCGCAGAGTCTGCAGGCTTTTTGTTGCATCAAGTTGTGAGCTCAAACGCAGGAAGCTCCTTCGGCGCGATTGCTCAAGCATCCACTGCTTCGGACGCTACAAGCCAGCCCTGAAGCATCCTCAGTGGACAAGATATTACAGGTCATCGAGAAGACACGAGTGTCGGCAGCCACTCCCAGCCAGCGCACACCAAGGCGGGCCCTTCACAGGCAGAAGTCGACCACCTGACGCAGCTGAGCGGTGATTCAAGCCCTATGTTACGCTTGGCCACCTCTCTCTATCAAGCATCGCGAATGCACATGTCTTTGCAAGGTCCTCTTCTGCCAAGGTGATGCACATATCCGCCGACAGTATGAAGGCAGATGCTCCGCTTTACGTGGTTCTTGCGGCTGCAAACATGCAAACATAGCTGGGCAAGGCCTGCAGGTGGCCTCATGTCAACTTCAACATGATACGTATGTGTAAATATGTATATGTATATAATGTATATACTATTTTCAGATATGCGTAAACATACGAATTTTAAACAAAAAGTAAAAATAAATATGTGTATATATATATATATAAATAAATATGTTAATATACACATGTATCCCTGTCTCTCTCTCTCTCGCTCTCTCTCTCCGAGTCGCAGGACCCAGATTGGCAGATGAACAACCTTCTCACCGGCCAGCCTGGCCTTCTTCGGGCTAGCAGAGCTGGGGTCTCAGATGAAGCTTGAACCAATGAAGCATGCCAGCATAACGGAAGGACGTTCCATAGTCATAGGTGCAGATGCTGCCAATGTTGTCATGGACGAAATATGTAATTCATATGAGGGCATGATGTCCAGAAGGTTCCTGTGTTCGTGTGGCACATTGGATTTCGGTCTTGGTTCAGGTGCCCTCCGAGATCAGCCAATACGACCAGGTCAGATGGCAGAGCACGACCATGTCGAATCCTTCCAAGACACAGAAGAGGACCCCTTTTCAGCTTTAGAGCAATTTCGCTCCTCTGGGCAGCTGGCCCTGAGCCTCGGTATGGTGAGAGTGTGGGCTTCCCAAGCACGCAGGAAGCATCACATCAACTGGCTCGTTGCTTGGCGTCTGCATACATGGCTTAGCCAACGGTAAGCCTTTGCTGAAGCCGCTGACATGCCACAACACAGGCTCACGAGGCAATCGAGAAGGAGCAAGAAGACTTGGATCGAGCTGCTGGCGGCAAGTTGACCAAGGTGCTTGGTTTCAACCCCATGGTCACAAAGCCCTTTCGCATAACATGCTCGCTGCCATGTTTGCAAGAACGAATGCACTTACATGTTGTTGGCAGGCGCAGACAAGGTCGAGATATGGCTGGTGACAAAATCCGATAAATTTTCCGATATAATCTTACAATTTCATCATGCAAGATAACAATTTTACTACATATTTCACCAGTATCAGGTTCTGATGATCATATCGGACATTTTTGGGCAGGAAACGCTTCTTCGCGAGACCCAAAAAACATCCTGTAAATATTTCCAGATGAACTTTGTAGACAGCAGTCATTTGAGATCATGACTTCAATCAAAAAGAAGTGGAT